TTTTGAACTCTAATAATATAAATATTCTTTATATAAGTACTACAATACTTTTTAACAAGCCGATTTCGGGTGATTAATTTAACAATCGTTTTTAAAAATGTGTTAAGGCTAACAAATGTCGATGAAACGCAATTTTCACTAACACTTATTGTTTGTACATCATACAACCTCCCTCCTGTAATAAGTCGCTTTCAAACCTACCACAATTATACTTTAATCGCGATATACCTTAGGACGATTTCTCAAATTTAAACATTACAAACAAATATAAAAATCACATAATTTATCATTAAACATACATTTTATTTCCAATTACTTACCTAGTTTGATAACACAAAAAAAAAATCAAGTAAATTAATTTCAAATAAAACTTAACTATTTACAGTATTATTTAAAATAATCAGAGTATGAACCAACCTCTGACTTGAAATTTTGAACAAAATCATAATTGCTTTTGACTGTTTCTTCAGATTTAATAATTGATTCCGACCTTAAAAACTCGAATGTATCACAGACATAGTTTTTCAACGTTTAACTGATCATTAATTTGACGTTATTCATTTAATTTATAATTCTTTTATATATTTTTTTTAGTTTTTATATTGTTATAATTCAATTTTTTTTTAATTCCATAATTTACACATGAGAAATAGTAGATAATATTGTTACTATTGTTATTTTGTTAAAATATTATACTATTTTTTTAATTGTAAAGTACTGTTTGTTTTAAAGACACATTATTCATGATATGTAGTATTATGTAAGTTTATATATTAAAATTGATTTTTTATTTAAAATATATATTTATTTTTATCCGACTAATCGTTATTGAAACATTTTTTTTAACTTTTAATTATTTCATTTTTTTCATCTGTATGAATATTTTTTTGATTAATTTTACTACTTTTATATTTTAATAATTTGTTTGATGCACTAATTACACGTTAGTAAATAGGAAGGTTATTATATATTGTTTCTATAATTCATTAAAATATGTTTATAGTCTATTGTAATAATTGTTTATTTTTGTATTAAAATTTTCTATTTTAAATTAAACCTTGTTTACAACATTTATTTTAACTTAATCGACCAATCATGTTTGAGTGAATTATTTTATAATTAATATGTGCATTTTTTTTTTTAGTTTGTTATTTTGTTCTAAGCAAAAATTTGTAATTTAGGCAGATGGTGTTTTTAATTTGTAGTGTGCAAGATGTCATTAAATTGAAAAGGAGCGATAAAGAAATAAATATAGTACATTTTAAGATACTATTTTAATTAAAAAAATGTTACAGATCTTTTCTAAAAATCATTACATGTGTATTTAAATACTATTTATTAAATACCACCAAAAAAAAAAAAAAAAAATTAGCTAGATTCTTAATTGAACTCAGTTTTAAACCAGTCATGGTAAGCAATTTCAACATTAAAGCTCATCGTACACTGTCTTAGCTGTAATTATGGACATATATTTTTCTATCACATACACAATAGTTATTTAAACGATATTGGTTAATTAAAATACTATTAACAACTATTATACATAAAAAATATTGTTATTAAATTAGTCTGCCGGATATAACCCGATACGCACTATTGTATTTGAGGCTAGTTTTAGACAGTATAGTTGTGATGATAATATTATTTCACTAAGACAAACACAGTCTAATAACACTTATAGAAATATAGTACAATTGGTTACAGTAATAAAATCATAAGTTATAAAAGTTTTTATGCATTAAATTATTTATTAAAATCGTCAACAAGTCAGGTTGGCTATGGAATTCTAAAGACCTTGTATTTGTCCATGTGGGTGCACGTTATTATAACGCAAGCTCAGTATTGGTATCTAAATATTGTTACAGTCTTTTGAACGTTGTAGAAAATGTTTATATAAACGGTTACTATATACTGTCATTTAAGTAAACAGTGAAAATATGAAAACGCACATCAAACCGCACTATAATGGTTTTATAAAGCAAAAAAAAAAAAAATGTGTTTTCGAGTTAACTCAACGAAAACCAAGGCAAGAACTCGACAAACAATACTTTAATAAAAAATCATATTTTAAAAATAAAAATAAACTTTGTCTTGGTAAAATTCGATTTTCCTTTTGATTTTGTAGTAAAACGATAAAACAATTCTCGATTCGGTGTAGCTTTTTTGAAAGTCTAAGAAAAACTTGTTGTACTCATGCCGTCTACGAACTATGATGAATGTCCAATTTTCAAAAAAGTTAGGGGCCTCATTTTAGAACAAGGCGATTATCAGAATCCCACGGGTTGATGCTTATTATATAAATATTTATATTATATACTTACCCTGCATGTGTCTGTTACCCTAAAAAGAATGTTCTCAAATTTTTTAGGAATTTTTTGGGTTTTTTCCTTACTCTCCTTCTGTTAAACATGATTCTGGCCACTACCCTCTATTCATCGCCAAAATATACCAATCAGTATCCGGCTCCACTATTTCAACAAGCTTTATTCGCTGTCGTCCTAACTGAAGTTTCCCTCTTTTCTCCACTTGTGTCCTGCCCATTGGTGTCGCCTTTTTTTTCGTTTCCCCAATAATTATATCAGGCACTACATACAACTTTTTAAGCTCTTCGTTTTTTCGAATTCTCTATTAATTTCTAAGGTAGCTTGAACTGTCTTTATATTATATTCGAGAGAGATTCTCTATGTATGCAATCATACGTCTTTATTGAAATAATACATGCACTTCCTTGCAATACTTCCACGTTTTGAAAGAAATTTGTTTCAAAATAAATATCTGATCTGTAGTAGTGCTGTTTTGTCTAAAACCTGCCTAGGTTAGGTTCATAAAGCTAAACATTTTTTACATGTGTACATTTCAAACTGGGTTCTCCATAAAAACGCTTAGAAAAACAAAAAAAAGAGTTTGAAATTTATAGAAGAATAGGAAAAATTTTGCCGATACTACTCTACAGCGCTACACTTCTGTAAAATTACTGAGCTCAAGGTTAAGTATTTAGCAATATTTAAATATTGTAAAATAACACAAACATTAGTGTCTCCAATTATAAAAGCCACAGAGATGCGATTATTTCAAAAGAATATGAGCGTTTTAAAAGAAATACACGTTTATTGATATAAGGTGTTTGTTTTACAAAGATTTTTACTCTTCCTAGGGGTCTAAAAAGTCCCTTGAATGTCGGCTTTTTAAACTTAAATATATATTAAAGTGTATACATGGTAACATATATTACACTTGAATAACTTTTTTAAAATTGAGAATATTCTCCAGTAAATTTAGAGCAATTGCTTATAATTGATATTTTTACTCAAGAGCAACAATAATTGTGGAAAACAGTGACATTTTCATAAGCAATCGAACAATCGGTGGAATTAGTGTTGACAGTTATAACACTATACTTTGATGACAGTCTTTTTTTTTTTGTGATACAGCTGCGATGGCTGACTATACACAAATAAGAAATTGTACTGGCCAAAAATTGTGATATTTAGTACCTAGAATTTTTTTTTTTTACGCTTCTTAATAAAACTTGTAAAAACTAACAGTGAAAGCGTTTCAAAATTCTCTTTTGTAATCGAATTGATGAGAAAAAAGGGAAAGGGAATAAGTAAAAAATATTCCAAAATTATGGAAAAACACAAAATATTATGAAAGATGTTGTCATTTGATTGTTTATTTTACTCATCTTAAAAAGTCGAGATTTTTTTTTTTTAATCAATTAGGTTTAGATATGTTTTATACTAAATCCATTATTGAAACTGAGCTAGAAACGGTATTTTCGGTACATCTGAATTTGGAGATCTAAAATATACTTAGACGTTTGGTGCCGGTGAGTTTTTCTGCCTAAAAATAATATGTCTTACAGGAAAAGTAAAGATGATGTACTGCTGCAGAGTTAGCGGATTATACCAATTTTTTATAACCCAAAAATTAAGACTCTTTACAGTCTGCATTAAGCTTAGATTATCAAAATGCAAATTATATACGTCTAAATAAAAACTTAAACACAGCAAATTAATATTATTTGTAACATTTAGTTCACACAGCACTTATAGTACTTATACTTACAGAACTAATACAGCACTTAAAATTAAACTACACATATATCAAAGATTGTTTATTATATTGTTCATAATTATTATTTATCTGTTGATTAACGATTCTATTTTCCAATCATGATATGTAAAACTACATATTTTGCCATAAATTGTTGTTTTCAATACAACAATGGTTACTATTATTTAATATTTTGTACTTGGTAGGTTTTTATTTTAATTTTGGTTCTTTTGTTCAAATAAATGACAACACATTCTTATGACCGAAATTGATTTGTATTACATTTATTATTGAATACGTCGAAACTAACAAACTACAAAACAATTATTAAATTGGATTTAAGAGTTCATTACAAAATTTTAACTGGTTACAATTATTTGTTTATGGCAAAAAAAAAAAAATGACCCGTTAGTCCGGTTTACTTAATTTACTGGTGACTAAATGAACTTCTGGCTGTTTTGGAGGGAACAGAACAAGTAACAGTTTTCATTCTCGCCGAGAAATTAAAACCAATATCTTCCGTGTGTTTTTTTATGCGATCAATGATAGAATTCAATTTTTCTACATGCAAATCGTAGAGGAGTTTTGGAGTGTCATTTAAATTGCGAGGGTGTACATATCGAGCGTATACATCATATTCACCCTGTAACATCTCCTCTTGACTTTTGTTAGAGTATGATGGTTGACAGCTTTTATTCCATTCGGCAACCAATTGATCAGCTAAATCTTCGATAAATAACAGAGAACATTGAAAAAGTAGTAATTTTTTTAAACGACCTGTTTTCCCTTATTTGTTTACTTGCTACTACTTTCCCTTATTTGTTTACTTGCTACTAGGTACTTTTACCTCCATTGCTACGGTGTTACCTATACCTGTGCCAATCATTAATTGTTATCACACAAACACACGCTATCACAAATCTGTTTAGACAATTTCTGCGTTGTCGTGCAATTTGCATTTAAGTCAAAAATATTTTTAAATAAAATAGTTTTGTTTTTGTTAATAATTGAGATTTCTGTTTGAACTCTCTTCATTCTGTGAATTATAACTAGTTAAATTAGATTTAGCGCCGCCATAGGAACAATTTTTTTTCATTATTGTCGCTATGATTTGTGAAAAACACTAGATTTTAATCATAATAATAACTTTGGTATATTTTTTTTGTTTGTTCTGCGTTAAATTCAAAAGAGGTGAGTAGAATTATTAAAATAATAAATTATTTGCATAATATTATATTAGCTTCTTATACGCGTAAATGAAAAATTTCCAGTTAAAATAAAAGTGATGAGATAAATCAATATTATCTAATATTTATATTAGTTTTCCCATACCGTTTTCAGATCTTGTACAAAATGTATCATATTGTTGTTTTTAGTGTTAACAAGACTTGCGACAACAAACCGGCAGGAATTATAGCAAATTGGATGAAAATCCTAGTCTGTGATAGAAGTCGACTTCACGTAACAGCACGTCGGAAAAGTCCTCGAAAAAATATTGTCAGAAATACTTGCAAATGAAAAAAATGTTCAATATAACAGTGTCAGAGCCTAATGAAATTAGTGGCCCAGGTGTAATCCATTTTAAGGTTCCAAATTTTACAAAAAAAAAAAAATCTTTATACGTATATTAAGTAAGTGTATTTATCTTTAGTAGCTCGATAATTATAAAATGTATCAATTTTTAGTAAGAACGAAACACGGGCAGAGCCGGTAATAGATAAGTCGGACGATTGTTACTATGACAGTCGGTAAACGAGCTATTGGGATTCACAAATTTGTGGAAAACATATAAAATCGAATTACACTGAAGAACGAAGCTAGTAGGATATTGAATGACTCAGAATTGTTCTCATAGACAAGCCGTGGAAAATACAAATAAGTATTTTGACAATAATTGCCAATGTAATTTACTAAAAAAAAAAGGAAAATCGGTTTTAATTGAGTAATGAAACGTTTTTATTTGTAGTGTTATTAAAAGTTGAAAGAAGCCTTAAAAATTAAATAGAAAAACACTACGGGGACGATTGTTACTATGAAACATAGATAAAACTTAAAAGAAGATGAGCCATCCGACACACAATTATACAATAACTTTCCATGAAAACACATACAAGTAATGTATTTTTTTATATTTATAATCTAACGCTAATGTGATTAAAATGGCTTGATGTATTTGTTAGGCAATTCACAAAGATTTAATATTTTTTCAATTTCTACCTGTGCTCATGTATTTAAACTAATTATTTTGAGGGAACCAAAAATATACTAGTAGATTTAATATAAAAATTGAAATACTGTTACTGTTGATAAATTCACTGTTAAAGTTATTTCTATTTATCTTTATCCCGTTGTTTTATATTTAACAATTATTTCTTTATAACTTATTAGATTTCCAGATTGAATTGATACAATATGTATGTTTTAGTGTTGAGACAACGAGCAACGGGATCGATATTGAGAAAACAAAAGAAATGGCTGTTACAAGTTGCTGAGCTGTATTTTTTATAATCGACAGTAGTTAGAAAATATTATTTATTAAATTTCAGAACAGTACCGCGGCTTTAGGAATTATTTTTTATTTATAAGCAATAAAAAAAAACACATATTATAAACTACTCACCAATGTTCTTCAAATATTGAGCACTGATTTTAAATACCTCATTTTCATGCTATGTAAAATTTTAAAACCAAATGTATAATACGTGAGATAGATTTTTTACGTGTAGTCTTAGTACTTGCTGTCTGAAAATTAATTTGTTCATAAATGTAAAATGTACATATTATATTGAGCTGTTGAATATTTTTATTTCAATAACTTTTCTTCAGTTCTCTTTTTTTTTCTTTATAAGAGCAAAATCTGTCCTATTGTCGACAGATATCTTGTTTTTTCTGTATAGTCTCAAATGTAAGTTTAATCTTATCTGTGATACTTGCGATCGAAGCATCATTAAGGTGTATATTGTGTTGCCTATACCCACGGGGCAACATGTCAGGTTTTAAAGCACCTTTCATTGGTATTAACAAATGGCTCTAGTTTAATTGCTTTATAAATTTGTATTGTTCTTACCTTTTTAAAAACGGAAAACAAAAATCCAAATTGCGAAATCTTTAGATTCATTTTTTTTTTTGGCAGGAATTTTTCTGAGGCCGTTTTCTTTGATTAATTAAAAAAAACCTCATGTTTTGTCTTTACACACAATTTTTCATTTTACAATTGCATAGTCAAAATAACGAAACAAATTCAATAAAAAACATTTTTGCTTTGCGTTACCCAAATGAAATTTCTGGTAAATGTTAAACATAGTTACAAGTCAACATAGACATTGTTTTAATAAAACTGTATTTAAACAAAAGCTCATTATAATATTTAAAATATACTTTTATTTGAACACAATATATTTTAATCAACAATAACAAACACTACTTATTTTAATCATTTTTCAATATTTTACTCAATTCAAACAATTATTCTTGAAATAATAACAATTAAAAGTTAAACAAAATTATTTAAACAATAGTTCGAATAATAAAATCTGCAAAAACTCGAAAGATGAAAATTGTTTGAATTTTTGTATGTTATAATAGGTATGCACAAATAGATATTAAGGAGTTACTAAAAAAAAAAAAAAATAAATATATATTTAAGTCATTCAAGTGATATATCATTAAATGATAAAAATGTATTTAAGTAATTTATTACTCGAAGTTTTAAATAATAAATCTCTTGAACGTGGTCATTATTTTAAATACAAATTTAAATGATTACTTAAAAAAAGCACTTGTGTAATATTATAATACAATTTTCATTTTTATTCGAACAATGATCGAAATAATATAGTAGTTATAATAGACAATAATAATACATAATATAATGTCAAATACTATAAATCATTTTTAGTACCTATTTTTTAATAATATATTATTGTAAGTGGGTACTGTTGTTGTCCATAATGTGCGTCTCGAGCCTTGCCCCACGCACAGGTAACCACCGTGAACCCGGAAAACGCCATAGTTTCGTGTCGGCGTGGTGGCTACACTGTACGAGCAGCTGTTGGCGTCCGGCGATGATAGGGCGAGACGGCCGTCGGCAGTCGGCGCGCCGTTCAGTCGGTTCAGTTGCAAGCTGTGTTGCGATTGTTACTGTCGGTCGTTCCTAATCATTTCCCATTGAGTTTACCCGTCGTTGTTCGCACTACGCAGTTGTGCGTGTGTGATCGTTAATCGTTTATAGTTTGTTTTTTTCCCTTCTTATACACGAGTGGTCGCGATACACGGCGTTTTCATTCCAATGTGGTCGCGTACGTTGGTGTCGCTAACACAATAGTACTGTTGTTCTGGTCGGAGTTAATTATTAGCTGTCCAAACGGCCGTTGTGGTCTCACAGGAGACTCGTTTTATGTATAATACATTGTGCTATGTGGGCTTAAAGTCACAACATGTCCCAGAACCAGTACTCTCGCGACACTATCATCCATCTTGTGGCCGGAGGGTAATATTAATGAGATTTTGGATACTCGATGAATATTATTATTATTTACATGATAATATTTTGTCTCCTTTAAAAATACCTACTGTATAAATTCTGACAACGCTAATACCTAATGGTCTGCAAATGGCTGTTTATAGGTTGGCCGGTACGACTGGTGCGGTCGTGACATGTCCGCTGGAAGTGGTCAAGACCCGATTACAGTCGTCCGCTAGCTTTAGGCCTGTACCGCCGCGTTGTGTGTACGTGCCGAAAATCGCCACTGCGGACGGCGGCGGAGGTAGCCGCATGACATGTAAGACAATTTCCTCCTCGCTGCAGCGGCGTCGATATAACACCATGAGCGGCGCCGGAGGCCGCCACTCCAGTACACAAATACTAACGTTTTCTCAATGTGGTGTAGGCAGCCAGACGACAAAATCGATGGGCCTTGTTGAATGCCTCAGGTAAATCGCAAACTTTTCACATTCATTACATCAATACCGCTGAAGTCGTCATTGTCCAAGTCGGGGGTGATTCCAAAACCGTCTTTTGTTGAATCAATCGGCGTTGATCACTAAATCCCCCCCCCCAATAGCTTATCGTAGTCATTGGGGTGAGTACTAGATTGTTTGAGTATTTTTTATACGTTGTAAAATAAACTCAACGTAGGTATAATTAAATGTAATTTAAATGACTAAATAGACAATTAAAAACAATAAAATATTAATATTTTTGTAGCAAAAACATAAGAAACATACACTAAGTTTTTAATAGGATTCCAATATTTTGTACTTGACAAAAGTGTTCACTTGACTCTGTTTTATTGAAAAATTGAATATAACATTGATATTATTACTGTCATTATAATTTTTTTTTAGCCAGTTTATGTCATATTAATTGAACTTTAATTGTGCATTTAAATACAATTGATAATACAAATTTAAATGGCTTTAAAATTTTATTATCATTGAATTTATCTCTTATTAAATTGTCGATACAAGTTAGACTTGCGGTACATAATCTTTTCATGCGGTAATTGATGACCGTTGCAATTTAGCGTATGAACAATTCAACTAGAGTACAATGATCTTAAATTGTTTTGTTTACATTTCCCGTAGCACACCATTAATAATAACAATATTATTCTATTATTAGAGTATTGAAGGCTAAAATAATTTGTTATCTGGGTTAGCATTGCAATTCTGATTACTGGGAGTCTGCCAATAATATCGACTGCCGTATACAGAATGTATACACTAAAAGTTATTAAATTTAAAAAAAAACAATTTTTTCTTCAATAAACCATAAATGTTATTGAACTTATCCTTAACACAAAATCCTTTTTTTTTTTTATTCCAACATTTGTTATAAAATTCAACTCATTAATGTGTGATAACATAACATATATATATATATATATATTTAATTGGACTAGACAAAAATATAATGTACTTTTTTACATATTATGTAGTTTTGAATGTTATATTCAAGTGTGTAATTTAAGAATTCTTATTATTTTCCTCAGCATATTGGACGGCGTCCAAACTATTTAAATCTATTCGCAAGCCGATAGGTTTTCGATAGTTCTGCCAAAATACTCTGAACTCAAGAGGAAAAAATAAAATTAAAGATTTCAGCTCGTTAGAGATTTGTTATAATTGTTTGTGACAATTAACTGCCTAACAAGCACTTTATCGTTGACTATTTTCAAATTGTATCTGCCGACGCCGTCCAAAAGCCAACTTATCAAGGGAAGGAGACGTTTTGAAAAAAAAAATGTGTAATAATATTTGTTATTTGAATAAAGTAAAAATAGGTAGACGTTGGTTTGGAAAGTGAGGTCGCTTGTTTAAACTGAAAACAGAGTTATGTTTTGGTAAACGTTGACGCAATAATATTTTATATTTATTGGGTACACTTAATATAAATAATATTATAATAACGATAAATTTACCGACCACTTTTGATTCTCTCTGACGTTGGATTATCATCTATTAGCTTCTTTTTAGTAATGAATATATTTTAATTGTTTGTCTTATCTAATTGTTTATGTAATCTACGTCTATTGCACGCTTATTATTTTTTTATTGCGTTTCTGTTATTCTCGTGAAAAGCATTTTGATATTAAAACAATCTATTTTTAATAGCTTAATTATACAATATTTATAAGTTTATATACATATAATAAGAGGTACAATTATCCTGTACGTAATAATTTCCAACAATTAACGTTCATTAAAATATTCTTATGTAAATAGAACTTACGTATTGCTGTTGACGACTTTCGCCATTTGAATTGTTATCGTTTTAATCAGATTGGTTAAAAAAAAGGTTACAAATTAATATTACAATACAGTTGTTGGGCCAGTCTTGCGTTAAGATTATATTTCGATAAAAAGTCTTATTAACCGATGTATCGTAGAACTACTGGTTTTGGTGGGTTCAAATGAGAACGTTCTAATAACAAATGAATAATATCGCTGACTACGATGATTTTCAACTCGATAAATATGATGTGTGTGTAATTTGTAATCGACTGAAACGCTGATTAGGATGTAAAACATAAGTGATTATTTTGAATTACAATCAAATTAGTTACTTTCATTGACCGATGTTCTTAATAAAAACTTATTCAATTTTTCTACTTATTATTGATTGAGATTTTATAGGATTAACGTGAACTCCTTTGGTTCATTAACTTGTCTGAAGAAGTTCTTCTAACTTGAAAACTAAAAAAAAATAAATTATAAACGATGGAAAACAAATTAACAAAGTTCGTTTTGAGACGAATACAAAAATATTAAAAAGTCTGTATCAAGTTATATTGCGCCTTTTATAATTAACTGTTATAATCAAACCTGGCCAATTTTTTATTAAAATAACAAGTAACTGTTTGTGAGTAATTGAGTGCATAAAATAATTTTTTTTTTTCAACAACATATTATTTACTCTCTGGTAGCAGTAGATTGTTATTAAAATTATTTTATTTTTTTGTTTACTTACTATACTTAATATACTGTTACAGTTTTGCAAATAATAAACAATGTATGTAGTCATATTATGTTTCATTTAGGTAAATAAATTATTAAATGCATTTTAAGTAATTTTTTTTTTTTATTTAATTGTAAATATTTTTACGCGTAAATGCATTATGTATTTTATGATTTATTATCTTGTTTACTCTTTAACAAAGCCTAAAAATGTTAATCACGCTTCTACATAATTTCTATCTTAAGCACAAATCACACGAATTTTTCTTCTGCAACCCACGTGGCCTCGCCTAATTTTATTTTATTTTTTTGTTTACATGTTTAATAAATCAGTACTTGGGGACACCCCATTTTATTTTATTTAAAAAAATTCGAATGCATTTTATGACAACTTAAAGTGTGAAACTTTAAACGGGTTTTTTTTTCAAAATTATATTTAAAAAACTACTCAATGTATTCCAATGAAATTTTACAACATATTTTAGCCATGAAAAAGTAGTGATTAATAAAATGAAATAATTTTTTTTATAAACAATAAACGAGCTTTTTTTCCATTATAATACATGCATAAACTTTCAAAAGCCGCCGTTTTACTTAACTAAAAAAAAAAGCTTAGATTAAGATAAAGTGTTAAACTAATCATTTTAAATAAACCATCAAGAAAACTGATGGTAACCGCGAGGCATTATTTTTTTGTAAGAGAGCGTTTAACAAGCATGCAGATATCTTGGTCCAGACTTTATATTTTTATTTGAAATTTATGTAACGTTTTCTCGAAATATAGTGTAAAAACTTGATCTTATGCCAAATGAATAAACATAATACAACGGTTTTTTTTTAATATCTATTTTTCAACCCTCCGATTATCACCCCTGACTTAACCCAACCTAGGCATTACATTCGGACCTACAGCTACTAGTTTGTCCAGTTAGTATATTTTTTTTTTTTTTTTTGGGGGGGGGGTCCGCTATTGCGGTTTACAAAGGCTATATTTTACTGGCTTAAGGGTTGTTGTTGTCGTCGAAAATCATTCGCCAGCACGTTTTTGGCGAATTTTTGCGTTCCAAAAAGATAACAATATATATATTTGTTCTCTCTCTCGCTCTTACTTTGGTTGGTCATCTCGGACGCGTAGTAAGTAAGAAACAGCCGACGTGAAATACCTTATACTGTTGTTTGGGACGAGGCATCGACCAACCGGTTCTCCTTGAGGGCAAAGCCAAGAAAAACACCCGTGACCTTTATTATTGCGACTCGGTCCATATGTGTTTTTTCACTGTATATCGGCGGCGCCTCTTGCATTTTTCACATGCAATAATATAATATAATGAACGTTTGAAAAAACAAACACAGAAAACGCGACCGCGTGCACGTAGACCCGAATCGAACAACACGAACGTATATAATAAAATAACTATTATAAATATAATTAATTCATTTTTTTTTTTTTTTTTTTTTGAAGCTCATATAGCTAGTCACCGATCATGGCCGCGGTTTAGACACGGTTATCGCTTTGGGAAATACTGATTAAACGCGCACAAAGTAAAGGTGTGAGCATAATAATAACTGTATAATTTATATATCATAAGTGTAAGTTTATTGACACAATAATAATAATTGACTATCCGGCGCGTGTGCGGATTTTGTTATTATATGTTAATACATTGATAAGCTAGTACTTGTTAGCTAGAAGGATGCTACTTTAAATTTTAATCAAGCGACTTAAATTCCAAGCAATGTCGACTGACGGGGCGATAAAGAAAACTAAATCGTTTTCGCTTTATCTTTTCGATCCAATTCGGTTCGGTTAAGTAGAAATTCGGCGAGTGCTTATCGGCCTTTTTTTATCGGTCTGTGTCGGTTTTAAACAAAAAAAAGACCATCGAAAAAACGTGTAAGCCAAAAGGAGTTGGACATTATTCAAATAAATAAACCACTTATAAAAATTGTTTCAATAGTTTTTTTGTTAGTTCATTGGAATACATATTTTTATTCATCATTTTCTTTGGCATTTTATTTGAATAAAATATTATCTTTATGTACTACTTATTTGTACATACATTCAAAAAAAACTATCGATATTACTATGGTAGACTTATGTTACAGCGGTCAGTTCTAAGTAGGTATACTTAAAATTGGAATAAAAAATGTATCGATTATTATTTTTTTTTTTTTGGCGAGTTACCGTTTAAATTTTCGTTTGAATCAAGTATTATTACTCGATTTGGTTAAGTCCAACTGATAAAAACTCCATTTTAATTATTATTTACCCAAAATACTAACATAAATAACTTAAAAATAAAATGTTTTTGAAAAAAAAAATATATATATATACTTTTGATGGTCAGTTTCAATATTTATCTTGCCGATCAAGCCAAAAGTCTTGCAAATAGTATAGCAAATAAATGTTCTATTTTTAAATGCAAAGTGGTGTCTCGTTATCATAATGTTTATGGCGAACAAATATTATATTGGTCGAGAAAAATGTTTGAACGCATTGGCGGGCGTTACTATTGGAATGTATAATTTATTTTTTATGCTGAATAAAAAAAATTATTATTTACACAGGAGAGATCTTCAATTCAGAACAGAGTTTGTTGTGCTCGTCTAATATTAGCCTAGCGCGAGTTAATGATTCGCACAAAACGTGGTTTGCCGATGACCCTGAATTGTATTTAACCGTTGTTGGAGTATCACATGTGTTCTTTAATATTAAAAAAAAAATTATGGTAAAAAAATCGACAACCTGTATTAACTAACGTTGGCACGTGCGATTCAACAGACGAACACAAACAGGTATACTGTTGTTTTCCATTTGATGTGATTGTTACCAACCGGCGAGACAACAGCCAATAAAATTGTTGTTTTCGAAAAACTTATGCGCTCTAGATTTGTTTTCGAAAATAAACTAAACCCCGTCTTTTGGTCTGGTCGCGCAGAAAAATTATTGTGTGATGTTAAGATTCGCAGAAAATCGGTCTAAAACAATATATCCAGAACATTGGCCCCTGTAGATGTTAAAAAAAAACACTCTCAAGACCAAGATTTGTGAAAAATAATGTCTTAAATTTAACAATATCCACAGAAAATTAGCACCCTAAAAAATTGGACCCGTTTTAGCATAATATATTCTATTTCAGAGTACGGTTTTTGATTTTACATATTTTAAATTAATGAAAAACAACCCGTTATCACATTAATTATCATTTTATATATATATATTATGTTCCATTTTATTTTCATCGGTCATGACCGCTTATATAGAAACGTTAATCGATCGTATATTATAATATAATATAAGTATAACACTTGTAGTGCTTTGCTGATAATAAAACAGTGTTTCATAATGGGTGTGACTCGTCTTGAAATATGCCACTTGAATGGGCGTAATGCAGTTATAATTATCGATATACATGCTTAAAATGAATATTTGCCGGAAATTATAATGAAAAGTGAAAATCATAATTCTTACTATTTTTTTTCTAAATAAATTTGCTCTGTTGTGGTTGAAAATGGATGTGTATAAAATATATTTGCGACTGAGGAAATTCGAAGGACGTTTTCCATCCTATTTTCGATAAAGATGAAAGCTTCAATAATATTTGCCCACCGCCCCCATATAAGACATGCCACGCGTAGTATATTATATTTGAATAACAACAAAAGTGTTTATGTTGTTTAAAAGACCAATTAAACATTATGTCAAGGAGTATCGAAGAAAGGAAAACAAAACGCTGTATAATTTTTTATATTATAAATAATTTAGATCACATCACGCAAATTAATCTCATTTTGGTAAACTATGCATTTTAATGGTTTAGGAATCTTTTTATTAACAGCTATAGTAAAAAGATTTTTGTAAAATTTGACAAAAACAATTATCACATCGTGCTATGTTTATTTAACAGCAATCATAAGTATTAACGAAAAAAAAGACTATCGGTTATTACTTGATGTTTTTTTTAAAGTATGTATTTATTATTTGTGTTTGCTCGGTCGGTGTGGATTACACGTTTTAAAGATTATTCACCAATAAAACAACATAATGCAAATAAACAAAAAAACACAAAGCACGTGCCTTAACCCATAAAGTTTGTTCTACTACCAACAATATTAATTTCTGTCGCGATGACTAATGTGTAAACGACTCGATGAAAAACCGTCTGGTTTGAAAAAATAAAAAATGTAAATAGGACTTAAAGCCTAAACAATTTACACGGGTGTTGTGGTTTTGGATACAAAATAGGTTCATAATTTTGAAATAAAACTTATTTCGGATATTAATTCTTAAGAAAATGTATTATTCCGAAAATCTTCCTCGTTGGGGATTAACCAGCTAAATTCTCTCTCTCTCTCCACCAATTTTGCTATTTGTCAAATACTATTACCATTCTTTCAGCGGTTTACTTGTCTACCTTTAAATCCATCCGCACTAATCTGTCTTATCCATTTTTCTTTCGGTTTCTAACATGGCCACATTGGCGCAACTCCCAACACTCGTAGCTGGCTGGCTCTCTTGATATTTTATTATTTATTATATGTAATGAAAAGTTGTTACAAAAATGTGACATAAAACGGTTAAAATAAAATGCAAATATAACGCGATACAACTTTTAATTAATCAAATGCATTTTTCGTTTAAATGAAAAGGTTCGTGCAAATTTTTGATTGCCCACCTTTAGCCCTAAGACGGTTAGGTTAGGTTAGATTGGATTGGATTGGATTGAATTGGTTAGGTAAGGTTAGGTTAGTCTGCTAGAACTGTAGGGGTTGTTTTCCAGTACATAATATATAGTATCCTTAGAGAGTTGGCAATGATTTTTGTTCTGTGTTTTCTTCTAGGCACATTGTAAAAACCGAAGGACCAAAGGCTCTGTTCAAAGGACTGGTGCCCAACATCGTGGGCGTCGCTCCGTCCAGAGCCATTTACTTCGGGGCTTACTCACAGTCCAAAAAGTTTTTCAACACCGTACTTAACCCGGACACACCGATCGTACACGTACTATCGGCGTCTTTTGCAGGTAAACAGATCAATCATCATCTTGCCCGTGTGCCTAATACAAAAATAATCAGTAATAATAAGTGTTATAATATGTTTTCCCCGGTTGTTAAGCTCGTGCGGCGCTCTTACGTCGAGAGATAACACTTTTTAATTATTTTTTAATTTGTTTAATGTGTGTTTGTTAATTTTTTTTACCGTCGAGTGCACACACACAACCGTAAACGACCATCTTAAAATAATTATACTGCATAGATATGATGTGTAACAGTCGAGTAGACGACTATTGCATGTATTAAAATACTGTAGTTTTTAAACAGGCGAAATCACACGAGCTAAACAGCGAAGCTAATAGCTATACTGTAAAAGTACCTACAACAATGTTTGTTTTGATTTGATCCCGTTTTACATGGTTCCGACGAAAATTGCACGTTTACACTCATTTAACACACTAGACAAAACCAAACATAGTTTACCGGGGTTAGGTTTTAGTACCGGCATATTGAAAAGCCAAAAACATTTGTCTGATATTCTAATAATAAAATTGACCGACATTACAAGCGGCCTATGTAAAAATGTTGGCAAGGTTTATAATGTTCGATGTGGTCAACTGATTTGAAAAAATAAAATACATAATTTATGTTTTGTTTTCAATATGTATAGTAAAAATATAGTAGGCTTGGGAAAAACTAGTTGTCATTGAAATTGGATCAAAAAAAGTAATATATGTACAACAAATAGAACATTTGCCTTCAATAGTGAATAAATAATATATTTTTTAAATATTGGCCAATTGCTCTATAAAGTAACAAAATTATAGTAAAACGAGTATTAATTATTGTACAAATATCGATGTAAAAACTAAACGGATAATTATTTAGTTTATTAAATATAAATGTATAGGTATTTTAGTGTTATGCATTTTAAAGTTGACGCTCAGCTAATATCTCAACCAGTCTATATAAAAAAAAAAAAAAATTGTAAACCCGTTTGGTTGGAAAATTCAGGCGTTTAAACATAGTACATGTTTTGAACTTATGTAATGTTCATAAAGCGAACCGTAGACATGAAGTGGTCTTAACGGCAATAATAAACATAAATATAATAAATAATATAATATAATGAATACCGGCAACAAGATAAATCAAAGTATACCTACAACCCTTTTCCATCAGTCTGCTTCCAGTCGCGTGCACTTTAAGAACCCTGGGCTTTTCAAGGTTTTATTTAGTCAGAGTTAAATATGTATACAATACACATGGTCGTTCGTCTAGTATTATTATGGCTACATGCACATGAAGTAATACTCATTTGAATTTTTTTTATAGTCCATATAGCAACAACGAGATTTTTGTTGAAAAAAAATGTCATTTATGGTAGAAATTGGCTAAGAAAAAAAAAAAAATAAGAGGTGACATTTTTTTAAAAACAAGTAGGCACATGTTTTCTTAATGTGTACATTAGTAAAACCCGCAGAGAGTTAGATCATTGATTAAGCGCGGTCCGTTTAATTGTTTGTGTACTACAATTGGTTTTTATTTTGTACCTATGGAAAAACATGGAGAGAAGGAAGAAGAGGACCTTGCCTATTGTATTCCAACAGTAGTATTCTATTTAGAATATATATGTAATTATTATTATTGCTGCTGTTATGAACGACCGAGCCCCCCCCGGTACCGCGGTAAAAGCTACTGTTGTCAATATTCTACTACTATGTTTGTATTACTACGATCACATGTTTTTGTTTACAGCGTATTTCGTGTATTATCATCTTTGTTACGGTTATTATTATTATTATTATTATTTACAATAATATTCGGTTAGGCGGTGGCGGCGGCGGCGGCGGCGGCCTCGTTAAACCGTCGCAGGCGGCGCACGAGGGGTCCCGTCTGGTCGTTGTTGATGTTATTGTGATATCGTGTGGCATCTGTCGTCGTCATCCCCACTACTCCTGTAGGATAGCAGGAGTAGTAGTTTTGGTATAGCGTACTACGTTGTTGGAATCACGTAGGCCACACTCAACAAACGGTTATACCTACTATCACTACAGCTGTGGTCTACCGGCATTGCCGGTGTTGTCCAGGCTGAAGTCTAGCACGTCGTCCCATTCGCTTACGAAACGGTCGATTTCTCAAGGATACTTCCTGACCGACAATTATTCGTATTAAAAACGGGTGTTAAAAAAAAAATAATAATAATGAAAACCGTTTCCGAAAGACATCATATCGTCATCTCGGATACCTAAAATTGTCAGATGTAAGTTGACGTTTCGATATTACTTTTTTTTTTTTTCTTGAAAAAAACCTTGTCCCCGTGCCGGCGGTCATACGGATCCTCGTTCTCCAAACGGCGCACAGTGGGAGGAATCAAACTTAACCGGCCAAAAATATAAGGTGCAGGAAAAAAAACCAGTGTTTTTTTTAGTCTAATTATATCATATGTTTAAAAATGTTAAAAAATATTGATAAATGTTAAAAAAGTCAAAAATTGTTAATACATTTTTGAGCATGTTTAAAAAAATTATTAAAAGATGCTTAAAAGCTGAAGATGTTTTATCTATAAAAAAAAAAAAATGAAAAATAGCTATAAATTAATTCGTAATTAAAAAAGGAGCAAACTTGAACAACTTTCCGATATAGTATTATTTAGTACACATAATTATGTAAACAATAATAATAATGGTAACCCCCCCCCCCACATTTTCCTACTCCATTATGTGTAAATAAAGTAGAATTTCTATAATAACATGATATATATGCCTATTTTTTTATATTTTAATAAATAGTATTAATACAAATAAAAATGCTTACTCGGCTATACGTTGATCCATTTTTGGAAAAAAATAAAATTATTTTTTCACTTAAAAAGCTTAAATAACTATATGTATAACATAAGTACACATGCAAGTGCTTGCATTAAGATTAAGATTCTAGGCAAATATCCCTCATACGATTTAAAATTTGTAATTTCCTTATTTTTCTGTCTTTAAAAAGCAGATATATAGTTTATAACGACATCCAGAGAAGTGTTTTATTTTGCTAGAATTTTTTTCTAATGGACCAATTTTTCCTGGAAACCAAAATTCTCAACTATAGGTAGGTAGGTTCGTGAGTTAAAAATTAGGATGCCGGAGGATTAAAAAAAAAGTGAATACTGTAGTAAGAGAAAATTAACAAAAAGAAAAAAGGTGGTGTTTACTATATATTTAATTTTTTTCGTGTAACAATATTTTTGATTAGAAAAGTTAGACGTCATCTCGTTTAAAAACTGTATAATTAATTTGTAAAACGGTTTACCACATTTGTGTATTCCTTATTAGTTATTATATGTATTAGCTGATAATAATGTTAAATACCGATTTTGATTTTGCCTAAATAGTATAGTGATTAGGCATAAATCGTTAATTTGTTTTTGTTTTAATTCTGACCTACTTTTAATGTATGAGAATTATCTAAACCATTATCGAGTCGTGGCCCAGGTCACGTATTTTACAATTTCGCATTCATAAAATCTCAAACGGGAAATTATTATTGATTTTGTTTGCTGTGCACGTGTAAAGGTTAAACTCTCATTACCAAACTGGTATAGTGATATTACTACTCCGAATATTACATTCATTAATAACTACTAAGCGGTTATTAGTGGTGTGGTTTTTTTTTTTTTGTCAACGATTACCGAAAAAACCTGATTTTTGCATTCTGAAGTAGTTTGAAACTATTCCAATATTGTAGGCGAACTAAAAATGATGAAGAACAGGTTTTTTTTTTGTTTTGGAAAAATCTTTAGTACAAAATTGTAAAAATGTATATCTATTTTCTAATAGTTAATAGCCTCATGAAGGCTTAGGCGATTTTTAAAAAAACATATTTAATATTTTTTTCTCAAATATGAGCCCTTGAATTGTCAAGGGGCGAGTAGTGTAATTATACTATTAAAAAAAATCTTAATTTTGAATATTTTAGCAACTGTTTTTTTTAATATAACGTTTTTCAAGATGACATTTATTCGTTTAATAATTAAAAAAAAAAATCCAAAAGAGCATTATGTCTTAAAAAATTCTTTTATGTTTTTATAGAAGTAAACGGAATGAAAATTAGAAAAATGTCTCTTAGTTTACTTGTTAATAAATATACATTCTTGATCATAATTAAATTACTGTTAAATAATAAGACATTTTTAGTTACATAACGAGATAGCGAAAAAAATCATGTAAGTGTCAAAGTAACAGTATTAATTGTTATCTGAAAAGTCTTGTTGTTCTGACAGAGATAAAAAAAAACTAGTTTTAAAAACAGAGCAGTTACTGTGACTTACCTAATAAAGAAAAAAAATGTTATTCGCAATAAAATGATTTATTTTAATTATAATAATATAATATAATAATAATAATAATTGATGTTTATGTGATTTTAAAATATAATGTGTTCGTTGTTCAAACAAAAAGAGTGTTCACGTCGAACGAAGGTGGTGCTGGAAGTTATTTATATTTTAATTAAATTCTAATTATATATTAAATTTAAACAAAACAATATTATTTTAATCTTTTTTTTTTGTTGTTATTGTTTTTATTCTTTTAGTACATTAGAGGAGTATATAATATTATACTGTGCGATGATACGTCGCCAACGTTAATAGTATTAAATTCGCATTGAACATAATTATAATAATAATATGTTGCAATTTGATATTCTTCATTGACTTAAGTAAACAAACGTCGTGATAGAAACAATATCATTATCCTGGTGTTGTTGTCGTTTTATTATTATTATTTTATTATTATTATTATTTTTTAACACTTGTCAACACAGTTATTACGACGGCGGTGTTGTTATGATTATTATGATTTTTTTATTGCATAGAATATTAAAAACCAATGAATCCACAGAAAATAATTGTTTTTTTTTTCTTTTGTCAAACTAATTGCTCGCTGAATGGGTTTGTCGCATTTATCGTATCTCGGTCAAGGACAAATTATTTCTCCCCTGTGTGTGTACTTTTTTGTCACATCATAATATTGTATGTCTTTGGTGTTAGGTATTTTCTTATTTTATGTTTGGGGGTTCTATTACCTATATGTATCAATCATGCCTGGGGATATTTTTTCTATGGTTCCAACCTAACCTGACTCACAGTAAACAGAAGAGATTGGTCACCAGAAAATTTAATCCCAAGAAAAAACATATTCAGACACTTGAATGGCCAACGTTTTTCCTTGGTACTAGAATTCTATAAAAATAACCTTCTTAAAAAAATGTATGAAAATATTTGTTAATTTTTATCAAACTAACTGCTCGTTTCTATATTATCGTTATTTTTTTCCAATATTTGGGTATTTTGAGCATATATTATGTAGGCATATCTAGCACAAAAAAAGTAATAACATTAATATCTATGATTTAAATATTTTAAACAACTTTCTTTATAAAATTGCTTTTTTTGTTTGGTCCCATCAAATATGTATAATATCATAAAATCGTTATTTTAATGTTTGTATTAGAGAAATAATATCACTATATATCTGGCATACATTCATCGTAGACCAGAATTAGGCAAAAACGCAACTTTTTTATTTAGATAAAGCGATAAATACAAAACTATCTACTAACAATCAATCATTGATTATTCGGTTATTTATCTCAATAATAAAAAAATATGTTAAACATATTTATATTTATTATTTGTTTGCATGATTTGAAATATTAAAATTATCTACAAAACAATATGTAGTTAAGATAAAGTATTTTAAGATCACTGTTTCGTGTGTAAATAAACTTGTTATTTGGTAAAATAATAAAACAATTATCTAAGTTTTTTTTTATCTATGATTGAATTTGTGATATTTTTTCGATATCAACAGGCCAATTAAAAAATGAATAAAATACAAAATAATTACTAACAACCATTTACCGGTTGTGCAATTTATTTTCGACACTAGATGCTAGATTAAATTTTTTATTTAATTATTAACTTGCGTCAATGCTCGATTTAAACAAGCCCTCGTCATTCCTGTTTTGTGAAACAAAGAAAAAAATGTGTTGATAAACTAAAAGAAATTAATTATAATATGTAATGACCATGAACTGTAAGTCTACCTTATAATAACGCCGTAGAATATTATGTTTTCTTTTTAAAAATGAAAAGAAAATAATTGCTACATTTTTTTGTCATTTGTTTTTTATTATTAGAAAATAATAACGTTGATGTATATATTTATTTTTGCCGTTAATTAAAAATTAATATCGTTTTGACAACCACAGTCGCGCCTAACCTAACCGAAATATTGATCCCTGGAAAATTGTTTGTCTGTCAAAAAAAACTGTTACCAGGAATACTCTTAAAGAGTTAAACAAGTAAAAAAAGGAGATGGTCTTAACAATTTCAAATGGAATTTTTATTATTCATACTGTCTTAAATGTCACCCCAAACATAAACTTTACCAACCCTTATTTTTCTAAGCACTGGCCAAGGTTTGAAACTTGCTTGCTGTCTGTTTCTTTCTCTGTTCAGACGGCCTTCTGGCTTAGAAGAAGATTAACACGACCACGGCAAAAGGAGACCACCGTTATTTTTTATCTCCCTCTCTTCTCCTCTTCACCCAGGACCAACACTTGTTGATTAACGACCCAACTTAACTGTTTTAATAATAATTTAAATTTAACAATGACACTCTTAGCATCGCTATGCGGCGTTAAGAAGGTATTGGTTTTAGGATAATGTGTTTTTGTGTGTATCTGCTCTTCTTCATTGTATACCTAGTAGATAGATCAGAAATCACAGATTTAAGGCACTTGATTAGGCCAATAATAAGATGTACATATTATATTCGAAAAATAGTCAAACTAGGTTTAAAATTTTTTTGAGGTAGTCTTTCGATTTAATTCTAACAATAAAAACGGTTTACCTTGTTCTTTATTTCGCTTTTTAAGGGTAGTTTTTTGGACTGAATTATTCTTATTCGGAATTATATTTTTATTTTTGGGCTGTATGGATATTTTATCAAAAACTGCTAACTGTCTTTCTGGTAATTGGTAAATGACAACATAAAATAATAATCATACAATATCACATGTTACTTAATTATAAGAATTAGAATGGATTTTTTTTTTTTGTAAAAGTTATATAAGAAAATGACAAAGAAATACAATACAAATGATAAAATAAACATAATATTGTATATAGAATAAATCAATAGGCGGACGGAGAAAGTTTTCGGTTGTGTTAATATATGTACTAACCTTTTACGGATATGTAAGCAGCAAGATAGATCCTAAGACGATTAGAAGTGGTTATTCGATAAAAGGCACGGCATAGACAATAGTTTTGTATATGAAGAAATATATTTACAACGACTCGGGTTGAACGTTAATTTTGAATTGAAGTGTTTCTAGTGTGCAAACATATTTTTAAGCAGTTTTTCTCTCCCTATTTGCACTTTAGTTTTCAGAATATCAGTCCACCATGTTTGGCTGGTGTAAACGTGTACAGTATGTGTTTATAATTATAATTATTGTCTTTTATATTTAAACGCAGTCAGATTCTCTACATACTAAACGTGTTTTGATTTTTTACTGGCCCTAATCGATTGTTGATAATATTATTATGTATATACTGTATGTTGTTGTACGTGACAGCGATATGCCTACATTTATAGTTTTATTTGTGAACGGTTGTCGCTCAGGAATTCCGATTATATTATCTTCTTCTTGAAAAAAAAAAATATTAAAATTTTCTTGTGTTTTCTCGCGGTTTGAACAAACAGCAAAAAAAAATAATAATAACTTGGCCCATAAAGTAGACCTATGCCGAAGCGTCAACAGACTTTCAAGTACAGAACACAACAGACAGTCGTTAAGGGAATTAAATAAAACGCGTGGAAGAATTTTCCTACTCTTCAAGGAGAAACATATAAATAATAAAAATATTTAATAGCCCCCCATTGACTTTTACTCGTATGGGAATTGTAAGTGGGGGGGGGGGCTTTAAATATGTAGGCAATATTTAAGAAAACGTTTTGACCGAGTCAATTTATTTTTCATAAGCTTGGGAGTGGTATTTTTAACCTACACAATTTTGTCCACAAGTAAAAGCCATTTCGGTGGTACAAAGAATGAGTGATAAGAGATAACGGAGTGTGATAAGGATGGATGATAAGTGATAAGGGGCACATCGGCCAAAGCGTTATATGGATGTCAACAATGGGGCAAATTTTAATCTCACTGAAAAGTTCAATGCAAATTTTCAAACCAAAATTGTATTTCTAATATTTTCTTTAATACATTAAAAAGTTGCCTGTGCTCATTTATTTTCTTCTAGTGCTAATAATTTCATTTTTTCTATTTTTGAGGTTTACAGCATGACGTGTGCAGTAGTGTGTGAATATCGAAGTAAACAAATAACAAATTGTGTATCACCTTTTATTGCGCACTTCAAAATAATAATAATTATATATTATTGTTATTAATTTAAATGCGAAATTACAACGACCCAAGTACACGAGGAGTAAACAATATTGTTTGCTGGCAAACGACTAGGAATGAAAAATAAATTGAGCGCATTGGCAAATGAGCTTTGTTTTAACAAAACAGCCTATAGACGCTCTGTTTTGAGATTGTTGTCTAGGCCAAATTTAAATAGCATGTGCTCGTCCAAAAAAAAAAAAACAACATCGATCAATAACACGCATACTTTTTTTAATGAATGGATTTTAGTTATATAATCCGTTTTATCCGATTATCGATTATATAGATGCGTGCTGTGCATAGCTAAAATTCTATTTACTTATTACTTTTATAGCCGCTCTCTCTATCTAATTTTCCAATAACTGTAAGTATATATGTATATTTGTTTTTTATTTGCAGGTTTCGCCTCGTGTTCGGCGACAAATCCTATTTGGTTAGTCAAAACGAGACTACAGCTGGACTTGAACAAGAACGGCAAACGACTCACGGCCGGCCAATGCATCAGAAGGATATACAGGACTGCTGTAAGTAATTGTCAACAGCGATTTTAACATGAACTATAAAAACTTTCGGGGTCGTATGATATTTTTCAAACATTAAGATAGAATTTAATAAGTAAACTGTAAAGGGGTATATTTTAGTGAGTTACAATTTCAAAAAACCGTATAAATTCAAAACGTTTTTGTTTACTTACCAAATAGATATACGGTTACCAAAGGGTTACCATTAAGGTAACATTAAGGTATCTCCACAACCACAATGGAGGGTTTAACCCACCAGCTTAAATCTACCTTGTTCAGGACAAACCGCTGAGTGGTTAGGTTAGGTTACTCCGGTAGGTAGGATGTATGTTGAGGGGTGGACACTCTTAAAAATCACTAAAAATAGCGTGGCGGCCATCTTATCATCAATAATGTTATATCTATGCATTAATGTTATTAGTTGTGTATATATATAATTTATAATGATAAATGTAAAGATGGCGGCCTCCGTCCGAAAATAACTGTTTACATGAAGTGTCCTCTCCTACTCTGTGGTATCTTAGGTTACGGTACCCGGGTAACCTGGTATCTAATAAAACGAATCCCAATGGCGCGCCAACGAAACTGTTTGAATTTTATTTTCCGATATTGTGTATCTTGTAATCGTTGCACACGTTCATTGTGTTTACAGGGTGTTAAAGGTTTTTACAAAGGCATTACCGCTTCGTACTTTGGAATTTCGGAGACCGTCGTACACTTTGTCATCTACGAAGCAATCAAAGCGAGACTGATCGCCGCCCGGGTTGGACTGAAAGAACCGGACGACAACTCCAAGTCGTCCAAAGACTTCCTGGAGTTCATGATGGCCGGTGCCATTTCAAAGACTGTTGCTTCGTGCATTGCCTACCCACACGGTTGGTGACCGACACTATTAACGTTATTCGAATACCTCTAATACTTACTACCCCCGTGTGTCTTTCGCAGAGGTCGCCCGGACCAGGCTACGAGAAGAGGGTACCAAGTACCGAAGTTTCTTCCAGACTCTGTTTACCGTTTACCACGAGGAAGGTCCCAGGGGACTTTACCGAGGCCTGACCACGCAGCTGATCAGGCAGATACCAAACACGGCCATTATGATGGCCACATACGAGGCGGCCGTCTACTTGATGACCACCTACTATAGTTTTCCCGACGAGGCGGCGGTGTTCTACGAGGACAGCGACGACCGATACGAGTGATATATATTGTGTATAATCCAATCAACGATAATGGTTAGCATCTTATTGTACAAATTGGGTTTTTGTCTATTGTAACTTATTTCCCTTTACGGTAGTTTCTTTTTTTTTCACCGTAGATGGGCTTCCGATAGTAAACCGCCCGTAGGATGTGATATTTTAAATGTACAATAGACAATAACGATATAGTTAAACATTAGAATAGTATACCGTTAAAAAGAAAAATATTTAAATTGTTTTAAAAATCTTTATCGTTTACGTACAACTGCCGTTGGTCTATTTAGTGCGCTGTTCATGTAACATATCTTTATCTTTTTTTAAATATATTATAAGAAATAATAATACTAGAAAGAAATTGTAAACTAGAAATGAAAACAAATGTATTACAATAACAAGATTTAACAAATTAATAACTATCAATATAGCAGTAGTGGTTTGGAATTGGTCAGTCGATTAAGTAATCTAATGAGAGCATTATATATTTGGTTGTGGTTTTAATAGGAGGTTCAGCTAATTTGGTAAAAATATTCCCAAGAGTACAAAATATAATATGATTGGGTTGGTTTCGTTAGGTTAGGTCATAACTGAACCGTTTAAGATTTAGCCACCAACGAAGAAACATGTTAAAAAAAAAAAATGACATATTTTCAAAATAAATTTGCAGAGCCTTGCACACACAAACGAAATGTGAACTATGATTTAGGGAATTATAATTATAACATTTATTATCGTACCTAGTAGTGATATTACCGTTAATATATATATATAAACCTTGCGATAACCTTTGAGCGGTGCCGTGAAAAATAAAATAGTTTCTTCAGATAATATGCCACTTGCATGCAAATCTATAAATACAACTCAATGACGTCCATTAGAGAGCCATTAACACGTCAATACTCGCGTGTGTCTGCTCTCTCCGATAGATAAAAAAGAAAATCTACTTTTTTTAAAAATGTATTACGGTCTCGGTAGTCTATTGTCCGAGTCGAGCCCACGTGATATATTATCTTAACCGTGGTGTTTATTAAAGAAATTTCCATCTACCACATGTTGTGAAAGTAATTTTGTTTATTTGTACACTTTTGTAATTATTCTTTCCAAAATTTTCATTCATAATTTATATATCTATATCAAAAAATTGTGTTTTAAAAAACTTATTAAAAAATTGGACATTTAAAGTACCTAGTTAATTGTTTGCACTTGTATTGAGAAATTACCACAAAAACTTTGGATACTTACTATTTAGACTGAAAAGCTTCATTCCCAAATTACTATTATTTTAGTTTGTTTTAAACCTATGAATTGCTCTTATTGAAATAAAACTTATCTTCTTTTTTTAAAATTATTATTCATATATTAGCCATTAGCCACAGCATTGTGACTATTAATGTTTGTAATATTTAAGTCTGTTAAATAAATAATTTTTCATGACCAACCTAAAAAGAATGAACATTTTAAAATTTGCTTCGTAACCGATTGTCAGCGCTTGAAAGAGTTGTGCAAGTTTTTCAAAAAGTTGCACTTATGGCAGTTTGTGTTTTTTAAACAAAATTGTTATTGAAGTTTTTGAATTAAAAAGTTTACTGTCAAAAGCAAAGTGCTAATAGTTGATTTTTTTGTCGATAACTATTAAAATTTTACCGAAATCACAAACGATGGGCTTATTTATTAAATATGTTAAAAAAAATTGTTTGTTATAATAAATTTACATTTGTTTATTTTATTATATCTGCTTTCAGGTATAGCTGATCTCAATGTATCCGGTGACTAAAGATTTTTTTTTTATTTACTGCTGTTGCCGCCATCGTCGGAGTCGTCGTATCGCGCACCGCTTGTTCAGTTACGATGTTGTTGTTCCGTTTCTATTTAGAAATGTTATTTTTATCATATATATTATATTGAATGTCAAAAATAAAAATTCTGCACGCCAAACGAGCACGAGCCACACGTTATTCTTTAAATATTATATTATGTATACATATTTTTTTTTTGTTTTGAAATTTGTATGTGTAACAATTGTACTTCTACGGCTAATTTTTTTTTTTTACTTAATCTGTCATACTCACGTGAGTAATAAAAAATAATAATAATTCAATCGTCGTTCGATCTACGTAATTGAAAAATTGAAAATTTCTTTACGTTTTATTTATATGTTTTCGTTCTAAAAAAAAAAAACGATCATTTGATTTCCGTCTCTTATTTTTTTTTTATTCTTATTAAACGTCGGCTTGACGACAATATTTAATTTGATAAATTATTTAATTTATAATTACCGAAATTTATTTTTTATTTACTATTTTGTAGTGTTACGTTAAATCAATCAAGTCTGACATTCGTTTTTTTTTTTTATATAAATTGTATACAAAATTTATAATACGGCCACGCCTAGTTAGTGCAGAATAAAAATTAAATAATACGCATAACTTTGTTGTACAACTGAAAACATTTTTTATTATTATTATTTAACGTGCCGTAAGTTTTAAAATATAATATAGTCTATATTGTTAAACTGATAACACTATTTATTATTTAATTATTATTGTAATATTAAAACTAGATAAACGCGATTTTTCTTTTTTTAATAAATTGTTTATACTCAAATTTGTTACATTATAATAAAAAAAAAATTGAAACGCCAATTAAAAATTTACGACAAAATTATTCTAAATGTAAAAAAAACCAATTTTTACGTCAGCAGAATTGACGTTTCGAAAATGTTGCTTATAAATCGTTGTAGATAAACGTCACTTTGGTAAACGATATGTTACGATCGTTAAAAGATTTAATACAAAATTTTGTAAAACAAACTATATGAAACAATATTTGTTAGGTATATTTTTTACTAAAAAAAAAAGTACAAATAGATCACTATGTATAAATAAATACAATTTAAAAAAAGATGACTAGAAAATAATATTTGTAAGTACTGTATAAAATGTTGTCCAATAACAGACAATCAATCTCGTTTTGGTTTAGAAGATCACATCGAAAGAATAACACGAAAAATATATAATCAATAATAAAAAAAATAACAAAAAAATTGGAATATAAATTTGACTAAGTATTTTTTTTTTTAAAAATAGTTATCAAAAAACAATTTTTTAAAGTAGTCTTTTTTTTTTTTTCTAAATAAAAATTGTAAAACCTAATACGTTGTTAAGCGCGTCTCCTTTCTAAGGCAGTTGCATGTTGCAAGCTTGTTTGTAATTCGAAGCGTTAAAAACGCCAAAGTAGTCGTCGTGTATAAACCGAATGGCTGATTCGATCGGACACAAGCGCTTTTGCTGGGATTTGTCATCGTTGCAGAACGACACGGAGCGCGTGACGTCTTTGCCGTTGAAAATGGCTCTGAAAAAATAGTCCTTGCCCGGATACGTTGTGTCCGCCGTGTTGTTTTTGTACACTTCGAAAATCAGCCGGGACGCGTAATTTGGCGATATCGTGTCGTGATTGGCAATGCCCAACGTCAACAACAGATGCTGAATAGTCAAGTCGTGTCCGGAGTACAACACCAGTTTCGGTTTGCTTTCGGACACCATTTTGAGCAAATTCATCGCTATGTTCAGAGCGAAGCCGTACGATTTGAGCAGTCCGAATTTACGAAGCGAACTGTGCTTCGAGTATTGTTTGAGATCCCAATCGATGAAGCCTAGAAGGTCTTGTACGTCTCCCAACTTCAAACAGTCGCGACGATGGCACGGCAGTGGCGCGCCGTGGCAAACGTACGTCAAAACGGAGTCCCTGAGTACGTACGGGTCGACCGGCACGCTGTTGGGCAACGTGTACACTATGTTGTGCATGCGCTTGAGCAATTTCACGACGATCCTGTGGGACTTCAAACGTTTCGATGCGGTCAGGCCGATTTTTTTCATCAGCCGTTGAGCGTTTTGGCACGCGCAGTGTTCGAAGCAATACGAGTAGCTGTCACTCTCGCGAAACGTCACTTTCGATAGCAGATCGGCTGTGGGCAAAATTGAGTACAAAAAAGCCAGAGCGCTTTGGAACGTACGACGGTATTTTGTGCTGTACACGATTATGTCGTCAGAATTTGAGATGTTAAACAACGTTGAATAAGGCGTACGTAAAACCTGTCCCAGTTTGATCATCTGCGAGACACCCACCGGAGTGAGTTGACTTATGGAACAGTTGTTTGCCGTGAACAACGGATAACCGTGAAAAGGGCCGAGAAATTGCAAAGACTGATTGAAGTACAGATTTTGTAGGAATTTTGTGTACTCCAAATGCTCTGAACGCAGTGTCACGCCACAGTCGACGCTCGCAATGTTACGAACATGTGTCAAGGGTCCTCGATCGCCGTGCCGTATCAATATCAACACCCCTTGCAAAGTGAGACTGTTGTTAGGCGTGCCTGTAATATTAAATGAGTCCCAAATCGATTTCAAACAATAACACGCGTCCTAGGACTTAAATATTTTACCTATGGTCCCTTCGACGCCAGTCGCGATCGTCTCTGGAGCGTTGCAAATCTTTGTCATTTTTTTATAATTTATCCGATTCGCGTGTTTTGGCTTGTGCGAAGGGATTACCTTTGGAACGTGCACTGTCCTTTTTTCCAAATTAGGGCGGTCGGATATTTTTAAATACAATACTGAAACAAGCAAATAGTAGCAAAATGTATAGATCAATACGTTTATCGACAGTTAATACAATATTTACTCGGAAACCAGACGCACAGCCATATAATTAAACACAGCAAGTATCGATGTTTGGTCATGTTCCATATTGAAGTCATAGTATGAACGTAACCCTTTTAGTTCACAATCTTTTGTACGAATAGGACGCTTTCGGCCTTTGTCAATGTGTTACTTAGGACATCCATTGTTTAACGTTGATAACTTGATTAAAATTAATAAAAAGTGTAAGAATTGCATCGATCAGCAATGGTAGTCTAGCCGACGTACGGTCGATATTGAAATAAGCTTAAGTGTAAACAGTTTTTAAGTTCAGGAATTTAAGTCGACACTCAGCGGGTGATTTTTGGAATGTGTTAAAAACATTTAATACTTAACAAAGGCAAGACAAGATCAGAAATCGGAGAATGGAAATTACATTTGATACTGCACTGCAGTTCAACCAAATCTCAATGAACTAAGTACTGAGTAATTAAATAAATAAATTCTAATAACTAAAATAATATGAATGTAATCGCCAATCTGTTGACTGTTATCAGTTATCTCTTATCACATGTTATCAATTAAACTTTGTCACCAACACGGGTATTGTGGTGAGTGATAACGGCTGTTATCTCGAGAATGGAATCGATAAGTGTGATAACGGAGGTGTGTATTGTGTTGCCGATACCGACTCCAAACACGGGACAATAAGTAGTATATTATGCTATAACTGTATTTTAAACATTTTGTTTTTCAATATAATTTATTACAACTCACCCGTTTACATATACACAATTTTTCTTTGTTTTCAGTACCTATTACACTATAACAACTTTACAAAATATTGTTATTACATATTAATTTTTTTTAAAAAAAGGGTTTAAACACACTTTAAATAAAAAACTCATTTTAGAAACTATCTTACAATTATGTCATAAAACATAACTTACTGGAAGAACTATCGAAATATTTTATTCAGTTCACATGTTTTTTAGAATCATGAACGTTAATTTATTTTACGAATAACACTCGTTAAATAATGTACATTATATCCATTTAAATGTTATCCGCCATAATGGTATTCAATATAAGTTTCTTTGGAAGATGTAATAGTTTACTTAAATTAATAGTTATCACAATATACATCTTGTGCCCAATATATTAGGTTATTTGAACGGGTATCTTTATAAGAAACTTATTCATCAATGATTTTCTGACTTGAGGCTCTGTGTAATAATATTGTAACACTTTGATTTATTTGGTTCGAAAAATATCAAGAATATTTAAAATATTGGACAATTATTTTATACAAAGCAAACAAGAATTGTTTTTTGCTAGCGAAATATCTTATCCGGCTTTGCTGTTTTTTAGAAACATGAACAATCTATTATTTAACAAATAACATAGCCTTTTGCGTTATTATTTAATACATCTGTTTTTATAAAGGAATAACATTTGTTAAATAATGTACATTATATCAATTTAAATTTTGTTCGACTCATTATGGGTTACAAATCAATTAATTGTAAGGGTTTTAAAAATAACTGATCATACTTAAACTTTGGAAAAATTAAGGGACATGATAAATTTCAAGTTGGCAAAACTAAATAAATTATTGGCCCAAGTTCCAACTAAATGTTAAATTTGTATTCATTATTTCAACAAGTAGTTTTTTGTACCTCTAGAATGACCAAACTTTTAGTTCGACCAAGTTTTTATTAAGTCAGTTCAACAAGAAATGTTTTATACCATTATATTGACTATAGTCTTGGTTGGACCTACTTTGTATATTTGGACAATTTAATTGTTTACTTCGATTTATAGGTATCACAAGGTACAACTTGTGCTCATTATGTTTTGTTATTTGCACGAGTTTCCTTATAAGAAACTTATTCACTATTAATTTTCTAAATTGAGGCTCTGTGTAATAACATTGTAACATTTTAATTTATTTTGTTCGAAAAATATCAGGAATATTTAAAATATTGGACATTTATTTTATACAAAGCAAACAAGAATTGTTTTTTGCTAGCTAAATATTTTATCCGGCTTTGCTGTTTTTTAGAAACATGAACAATCTATTATTTAACAAATAACATAGCCTTTTGCGTCATTATTTAATACATCTGTTTTTATATAGGAATAACACTCGTTAAATAATGTACATTATATCAATTTAAATGTTATACGCCATAATGGTATTCAATATAAGTTTTTAAATAAGTAACTGTAAATGTTTTTAATAATGAAAGCTTAAAATTACAACTATAAAAAAAAAATAGTGTATTATCCTTATCGAATAATCTGTTTAAGTTCAACTAAAACATATATTTCAAATATTTTTACTATTGATTTTTTGTATACCATCCTTTTACACAAAAAAAAAAAATACATAGATAGGCCAACTTAAACTATGGGTAAAAATTTATAGTTGGAGGGACTCAATAAATAATTGGCCCAACTAAATGTTAACAGAAACTACTTTTTGTTTAGATATTTCAAATACAAATTTACAGTACGCCTAATCCCTACAATAACCAAATTTTAGTTAGACTAAAATTTTACTAGGGTATTCCAACTAGAAATATTTTGTTCCCTTATATTAACCAAAGTTTTAGTTGGGCCAATTTTGTATTTCTGTAGAGTATTAATTCAGTGTTAATACATTTTTTGACATTATAACTTATTCATCAATGATTTTCTGAATTAAATCTCTATACAATAATAAATAAAAATGTTGATTCGTTTGGTTCGAAAAATATCAGGAATATTTAAAATATTGGACAATTATTTTGTACGACGCTAACCAAATTTGTTTTTAGCTACCGAAATGTTTTATTCGGCTCTGGTGTTTTTTAGAAACATGAACGTGCTGTTATTTTACAAATAACATTGCCTTTTGCGTCATACTTTATTCAAACTGTTTCTATATAGGAATAACATTTGTCAAGTAATGTACATTGTATCCATATAAATGTTATTCGTGAGAGGAATGATGATAATGAATTAATATCATACAGCAGTCGGAAAAATGAAATTACTAATGAACAAGGTTGCTTGTTATGGGGTTATTGTGTAATTATACCAAACGAAATTCGGGAATCTACATTGACTGAACTCCATTCTTTTTATACACGCATGACGTCTATTATGAAAAGTTTGGCATGATCGTATTTTTGGTAGCCTTCAATAGACGCTGATATTGATAACAATGGCTTGTAACTATAGTGCATGCATAAATGTCGTTCCAAGCCCACCTTAGGCTGTTGTCACTTCTTAGTAATGGCCTCAAAGGCAATGGACTAGAGTGCAATGCGATTTTTTAGGGTCGTTTAAAAACGAAATATTTTTAATATTTGTTGACGCAATACAACTAACAAAATATTTAGAATTAATTGCGGGTTTCGAATTTCCACATACTATTACTACTGACGGACCCAAAAGTATTTGCGGAATCGAATTTGAAACTTATTGCAAAAAATTGGGTATTGGACATTTAATAGGTGCACCGTTCCATCCAGCCTCAAACGAGTGTGCTGAATCTGGCGTTAAAATTATAAAAAAAAAATGTAAATTCATTAAATCAATTAAACAAATTTTTGCACATAAATTGAACAAAAATTACTAATTAAACTCATAGTCGATCCTTCTTCGTATGCACTTGGCGCGGTTTTGTCGCATATCTATCCTGATTGTTCCGAAAGACCTATAAATGTTTGCTTATGTGTCGAAACACTCCTTATCCGACCAAACACGAATCGCCTGATCAGCTATTATTAGGTCACCCTACTAGATCACTCTTCGATTTATTAAATTCAAGTACAAAAGAAGTGGTAATTAATAATCAAATTTCTTAACTCAAATATGGGGGGGGGGGGAGAAACATAAGCTTACAAGAAGGCTATAGCGTATTAGTAAAATATTGTAGATACAATGGGGAAAATTGTCATAGTGAAAATATAGTGACAATACACATATAGTTACATGAAATACACTATGTAAACAATTACTTTTTACCTAAAATATTCAAACAATACTAGTTTATTTGTATATTAAATTCATGAAGTATTTATTACATAATTACTAAAAATTGTATTTTTAAGGTTTGTAGGGAAAATTTAACGTTTTGTAATAAACACTATTTTGTTATTCATTTTATGTTCGTTATATCAGAGTATAACAAAGTTTTTCCGGGATGAGTATATTATTTGTTGTTTGAGTTAAATAACTATGTAAAATATAAAAATAGATTATTTAGTGTTATAGTCTTAAAAATGAAACTGTTTAAGACTTTGAACGAAGGAAGGAGGAATATAGCAATCCAGAACTCATCTTCAGAGGCCCATCTATAAAGATAGTTTATAGACACAACATTGAGTATAAAATAACAGCAAATCGTCAAAACTTTGAGAAAACCTTTTCAAACTTAAGCAGTGTAGCAAGTATAAACATATGTTTTACATAATTCCTCTAAACACAATATTATTGCTATCAACATGTTTTTTTTCATTCATTCAAATAGAATTGATATGATTATTTTACCCATATTTTTTTAAATATTTGTATTTAACAAAAAACATCCGTCATCACATATCTCAGACTTCTAGCACATGTCAATAAGTAAACCGCTTTTTACAAAATAGTATAGGGTTTATACTTTATGTAAATAAATATTATTTTTGACATATACATTTTGTGAACTCAACAGCGAGTGAAATAAATCTCCCTGTTATAAAAAACAAGTAATTTAGAACATTCTAAATACTGAAGAGTATTATAAAATAGAAGAATAAAATAAAATAGAGGAAGAAATGGTATAGCTTTATTAAATCAATGTCAATCAATATAATACATTCATTTTATTTAATTCGGTTAGCAAAGACAATTAAAAGTTTTAGATAAGTGTAGTATAATTTATGTAATAGGTATGTAAACAAATTAGGTTGACAAAATCATTTATAAATGAACTAAAATTTAAATATTCTTTAATATGTTTAGATTTTTTTACATCAGTTTATATATTTTAAAATTAATGGACTTTTGAATATTGAAATTAAATTCTGATTGGCCGATTTGAATCAGGTTACTCGAATTCAAGGTTATCCAAAATGAGTAGAAGTCCTATCGGAGGCACCAATTCGTTATCAGAACGGGCAACGTATACTACTGGTGCCCCTGGAATACATCTACATTTAAATTTTGTAATCTTATCTAAATCATAACCATCTTTATTTTTATTTAATAAATGTTTAGGCCAGTTTTGTATTTTACTGTTCAAAATTAGAGTATCCACAACACCAGTTGGACATTTACTATTATTCAATGCGGTTCTTGCAATATCCTTTAGAAAAAAAAAACGGTTAAACATATTTTTGAATATTGTATTTTATACAAAAATTACTAGTTGAGTTTTATTAGATGCAGTTGCCAAAGTACTCCACGATTTAACGGTCTTTACTTCTAGTGACTCTATCCATTCTTCAATTTTTGAAAATTGTAATGTCGGTTGCATCAAGTTTGTGGTCTAAAAAAAATT